CGCCCCGCCGAGCCCGCCCGGCCCCGCTCCCCGCCCGCCCCCGGCGCTTCCTGCTTGGCCCCGGGGAGCCCCGGGAGCCGCGGAGGGCGCGGCCGCCCGCCCGCCTTTGTCTCGGCCGGGCCGGGCCGGGCCGGCAGCGCCGCCGCAGCGCCCCGGCGCGGCCACGGCCGGCCCCGCTCCCCTCCCGCTCCCTTCCCTTCCCTTCCCTGCCCTTCCCCTCCCCGCCCGGCCCCGCGGGAGGGGGAACCGCTGCCCCGGGGCTGTTACCGGGCGCTGCTCCCCCCCCCTCCCGCGGCCCCGGTGCCGCCGCCACGTCCGGAGCCCGTGGAGCGGTGACAGGATGGTTTGAGTTGGAAGGGGCCGTATAAAGATCATCCGCCTCCAACGCCCCTGCCATGGGCAGGGACACTTTCCACCATTCCCAGGTGGTTCCAAGCTCCGTCCAACCTGGCTTTGGACACTTCCAGGCATCCGGGGACAGCCACAGCTTCTCTGGCCAAACTGTGCCAGGGCCTCACCGCCCTCACAGCCAACAATTCCTTCCTAATATCCATCCTAAATCTCCCCTTTTCCAGCTTAAAGCCATTCCCCTTTGTCCTGTCCCTCTATCCCTTGTCTCAAGTCCCTCTCCAGCTCTCTTGGAGCCCCTTTAGGCCCTGGAAGGGGCTCTCAGGTCTCCCCGGAGCCTTCCCTTCTCCAGGTGAACACCCCCAGCTCTCCCAGCCTGGCTCCGGAGCAGAGGTTCTCCAGCCCTCGTAGCATCTCCAGGGGCTCCTCTGACCCTGCTCCAACAGGTTTTATTGTGGAGGGACAAGTGTGGGGGCAGGCACGGCCTTTAGCCTGTGCCCCTTGGTTTGATGCAGGAGGAAAGCCCCCAGCTCGCCTACGCCACCTATATATTATATATATTTATATCCACATGTGTGTTTCTACCAAACCCGAGGCTGAGCTTTCCGTCTTTCACACCAGAGCTGTTCCTTTGTGTACGTCCTGGTCGGGATTATCACAGCTGCCGTGGCAAAACTGAGCAGGGCTCCGGAGGCTGGGATGCTCCCAGAGAGGCTCTGAGGTGCAAGAGGAAGATGCAGGACTGCTCTGGATTGCAGCCTTGCAGCCACAAGCCACGTAATCCTTCTCGTGGGCTGATCAGGCACCCAGGGCATTCAGCTCTGTGGGCAGCCAGTGCAATGAGAGTCACACCAGAATTACCTCAGACCTGTTGGGACTTGCCTCCTTGGGCTCCCAAAGCCAAAAAAGCTTCTGTGAAACTGCGAAGTGGAAGGTATTCTGTAGCTGCCCTTCCCTCTTTGGAGGGCAATTATTTGCAGCGAAGCGGCCAAAATTCTGAGCAAAACTCACCTATGGTCTCTCAGGAAACCCAGAGGTGGAGATAATGGAGCAGAGGAATGCTGGAATTCGCAGTAGCAGTCCCTGCACATAAAATCATTAAGGCCTTAAAGGAGGTGTGATTTTCTAGGCGTAAAAACTACCACGTTCTCAGCGCAGGAAATACGTCTGCAGAAGTTAGGTAAGAAAAAAAAAATCAAATGGATGCCAGATGTACGAGTCTCCTTGGTGCTCAAGATGGTTATTTAAGAAGAGTTTCTGTGTTTTTGGCAGCCACACGAGCCCACACTGGTCCAATATAGTCTAATGACAATGTAGCTGGGCATTGATCCTCAGTTTAAAATGGAGTCTGGGTTTTAACCCCAAACTGGGATTTGTTTATGGGCTCGTTTGAAACTGTGTGTGTCGGGAGCAGGCTCCAAAATGTAACCTGCCCTGCTCCCCAGAGACAGGGGAGCTCAGGGCTGCTCTTAAAGAGGTTCCCATTTAATCTCCCTTTGTACTCTGAAAGCTTTCTACATCCTGTATGTTCTCTCCAACATAAATACCTAAGTTTTCCTGAACCCCCAACAAACAAGAAACTATTTACCCTTTAGGGAGCTGTATTTCCTCAAGTGATTTTTAACAAAACAATTACCTCTCCCCTCATAAATCAGCTTCCTGTGCTCCTGATATGGAGCTGTTTGCGTCCTTTTTCTTTTCCTTTCCTCAGCTGAGGGTTCAGACGCTGCTTTTTACTCTATTGATTTGCTGCTCTTGACAAGCCATCGGGTGACAGCACAGGAAAAAGGACATTTCATTTTCCAGTTGCAGATGGTGCATTAAGACTTGGCCTCCTACAACATCTCACAGATCCAAGGGCTGGAATTTAATGTCAAAGCTCCCGTATTTTGTCCTTGCTGGGTTAAGTTTCATTTTCCACCTGGAGGTGTTGCTTCTCATCCCATATTGCCAGAGGTGAAGAGTGGGCTCTCAGAGCCCATCTTGTGTTCTGAGCTCCAGTCCACCTTTCCCAGCTGAGTCTCAGTCCCTGCTGGAAGCACTACTGGGAAGTGTACATGGATAAAACCAGCCCTGGGACTGTATTACTGCTGCAATTTCTTGATTAGAAAAAAACAAGGAAAATGGAGAAAATGTCCCCAAGTTGCACCAAGGGAGGTTTAGGTTGGATATTAGGGAAAATGTCTTCATGGAAAGGGTGGTCAGACATTGGAACAGGCTGCCCACGGCAGTGTTGCAATCACCATTCCTGAAGGGATCTAATAAAACCGTGTGGATGTGGCACTTGGGGACATGGGCTAGTGGTGGCCTTGGCAGTACTGGGTTAAGGGTTGGCCTCGGTCTTAGAGGCCTTTTCCAGCCTAATGATTTAATTAATGATTGTAATGAGTTGTGCAAAGCTCACAGGGCAAGACATGGCCGGACTCTGCGCACGCTGCCAGGCGTGTTCTCCTGAACAAACACCGATTCCTGCTCCATATTTTCCGCCCTAGACCACGTCGCTTTTCTGGTCAAGCGTGTTTCGGAATGTGCTTTTATGCAGCATCTTTCTGTCTGAATGGGTCCCAGCCTTAAAAGGAATGTTAAGTGGTTTTACATAAGGCATTACGTAGGATTAGAGAATGTGAGCTGTTTGTATTGTAGTCTTAGGAGGAAGAACAGCCAAGGTTATTTTAACGAGACACTGACCGAGATTCATCTGGTAACGGGAGATGCAGGAATTTCTAACTGAACAATGTTCATGAAGGTGGTTTTAAAAGCAGCAAAATGTGGATGCATGTTCATTGGCAAATGAGAAACGCTGAGGTATGAAATGGCAGCATAAGGAAAAGATACTTCAGCCCCTAGTTTTTGTAAATATCTTTAATTTCACGTGGTCTAACAGTGTCACGCGGAAGGTATTCAAAAACTGCTGCAGCATCTTCCCTATGATTTGAGGTGTATTTTTTTCCCAAGTTTGTGGTTTGGGTTTTTCAGGCTGGTTTTCCTCCCCAGTGGAACACACAGTGTTGCTACACCCTGTCTTGCCACAAGTGAAGGGCCTGCCCTGGAGCCATTCCCAAATCTCTGCAGGCACCTTTCCACTCCTGAGTCCAGTTCTTCTTGGCATCACTTGGGCAGCTTTCAGTGCTGTCAATGCTGCTTTACCTGCCTGCTGAGCTCTGCTACTGGGATCCAGAGTAAGAGAGATAGGGAAGGCTTTGGGGGGTTCCAAATGGCCTCTCGCTGCTGGAACGGCCCTGTGGGGACAGTTGGGGTGGCAGCTGCTGTGGGCACAAGATGACAAGTACCAAAATGCCTGGAAAAATCTAAAGAGCAGAAAGAGGGAGTGGTCTTGGTAAGATGGATGGAGAGAACACAGCCAACACAGCTTCAGGCAGGAGAAGGAGGCCTGTTAGACGCTTCTTATGTCCAGCCTGGGAATTCACTTGGGAAAGTCCAACATAGACTGAGGATCTCTCCAGTGGTTGTGCTGAGATGCTCTGGGAAGAGAGAAGCCTTTTCAGGCTGTCAGGAGCCTTGCCTCCCTTGCAGGAGCAGGAGAATTAAGTGAGGCACAGCTCAGAGCCTTGTGCAGGGATTTGTTTTTCACGGAAGGAAGAGGAGCACTGTGGCTATACATTATTTTTGTGTCACCCTGTTTACGTAGATGTATCTCAGGAGACTTTGCAGCTGATTGTGCTGTTTGCATTCAAAGGAAGGAAACCAGCTGGATGCCCTTCCCTCCCATGTGCACGTGCAGGAGGGCAGAGGTGAAGCCCGGCAGCTCCACCAACAGCAACAGCTCAGCACGAGGATGCAGGAAAATGTGGCCATTCCACTAAAAACAGCACCAACGAGGGGCATTCAGAGCACTGGCTGGAAACCAGGCTGCTTCCCACGTTTCCAGGTGCACAAACCTGGCTGGAACATATTGCAAGTATCTTGCTGAATCATCCAGGCAGGTGGATTCGGTTGGCCCTGCCAAGGGGAGCTGGAAGCCTTTTCCTGGCCGAGGTGTATCTTCAAGGGGAAATCCTAGAAACAAACTTGGCACGCCCAGGGTTTGGCTTGGACTCACTAAAGCCACGTTGCAAAAAAGAAAAGAGGCTGGTGAGGAAGGATGTTTTCAATGTAATGTCCATCTGCCTGTCGGTGCAGGAAAGAACAAATGGAAAACAGCGTCGGAAATAGATGGGAAGTTGGGCTTAGGAGACATCTTACTGACCTCTGAAATGAAAATCATGAGTTGGAAGGGACCCAAAAGGATCATCCAGTCCAACTCCTGGCCCTGCCCAGGACACCCCAACAATCCCACCCTGTCCCTGAGAGCGTTGTCCAAACCCTCCTGGAGCTCTGGCAGCCTTGGGGCCGTGCCCACTGCCCTGGGGAGCCTGGGCAGTGCCCAACCACCCTCTGGGGGATGAGCCTTTTCCTAATAAAGATAAATAAGAGGACCACAGATTGTGCAAAGGCAGCCCCTGATGTAAAACCAGGCCTGTGGGCTTGGTTTTGTTGAAATTTCTTGCTGATGGCTCTATATCTCCATATTTTTTTTTTTATTCTTAAGTAGCTCCTTCAGTTTCCAGAGCATCTTCCAGAAGGCAGGGCCTTCCCAGTGACTGATTAAGCAAGTAATTTAATTAACTGCTGGAATTCTGTCTCCTCCACAGTGAAATACCTCTGTTGCAGCCCTAGTGTGCAATCCTGTTTACAGAAGCAGCAAGCATAATTCCTTTGGCTGCAAAGCCCCTGTAAATGTAGGCGGCCATAGCACAACTTGAGGTGAGAAATGGGAACAGCAGGAATAGCAGGATTTCCTAAGCAACAAAGATCTGCTTCACTTAAAATATTTCAGTAAGGGAAAAAAAAAAAACGAAACAAAAAAAACAACAGAAAGATGTTAGGGAGGCTTTAGCTCCAGGAGCGGGGAAAAAGCTGTTTTGGTATTTCCTAGGAATTGTGGCCTCTTAACCCAAGAATAAGGGTGCAGAAATTAAAACAGCAATGACAAATGGGCAATTTCTCTCTACTGGGGAGACATCCCCTTGCAGTGCTCCACACAGACTCCTTTGACTTTCCCATGCAGTTAAGAAGAAGCAGTGAAGGAGCGAAGGCTGAGAAGGCAGAAGTGATAACAAAAACTGCGGGGAGGAAGCGAACAATTCCAGGATCCCTGGATAACCACACATCTGTCACCTGGAGGGGCTCAGGCAACGCCTTGTCGGTGTCATGGCAAGGAAAACCCGTGTGGATGGCACCGTTTCCCTCAGCAGCAAGTCCGTGGTGGCACCTGAGCAAGAGCAGAGCCTTGGCAGCGTCCCTTTGGCACCTCTTACGTAAGTGTTGCACAACGAGGGGCCGGGGATATGAAAAGCAACTCTAAGAGCCGCCTGGGTAAGTGGGACAGTCGAATCAAGGTAAATTATGAAACGGCTCCTGCCACTGCTACACATGAGGGACTTAATTCCAGGTTTTCTCCTCATTCTGGGGCCTTCCCAAGTGCTGTATCTCCCGTCGCACCGATCGGGAACCGCCTGCTCCGCTCTGTCTCTCCGTGGTATTTTCTCTTTTTGCCTTGATTTAGCGTCATTTCTCCTCAAGAATCCTTCCATTCCGTGCCCATTCAGCACATCTGCTGTGGAATCAGCTCTTCGTGATCTGGCAGCTCGGGCAGCAAGAAAGGAAAGATGCTTCCTGGGAAGGGCTGTTTGCAACTGGGAAAATAAAGGGAGGATGAATCGGTGGAGCGGAGGGATGGATGAAAATGAACAAATGCTGAGTCACCCTCGGGAAACAAAATCATCTGCAAATGCCCCAACTTGGGATCATAGGAAATAATGCAGGAAAAGGCCTTGGGAGTTCATGGAGACAATCCCTCTTGAACAGCACAGGATCAAACCTCTCCACTCCTCTTTCATTGGGACACCACGTGCCATAATGGCAAGAGAAAAGGAGAAAATGCCAGTAAATGGGGCAGTACAAGCTCGACCTTAGCAGCAATTCTCAAAGGGAATGAGGAAAACAGGACCTGAGCCCATCTTAGTTTAATTAGACTTTCAAATTAACAGATTTCCTTTTCCATCCTCCTTTTTTTTTCCTCCCCTCTTCATTTCCCAGCTGCTTTTCTTCTCATCTCCTCTTTCAACCCATCTGAACCCCTCTGAGTGTCCAGCAGAAGAAATATCCCCTCAGAACACCAATTTCTTCTCTGCTACGTTGAAGCAGCAACAGGCATGTGCAATTTTGGGGATTATTATTACCAAAAATTCTAATGGAGCTTCTGCAGGGCTGAGCTCCTCGTGGTCACAGTGCCCAGCAGGATCCAGCTCCCTGCCACGTGAGCCGGCACTTCAGCGAGCCAAAATGAGCCAAAATTATGTGTTTCATCCTGATGCTGTAAACACAGGGAAGAAGCCAACCGGGAAGGCAGTCACAGAGTATTGGAGAAGGCACTTAGGAATTAGGTATCAGCATATCAATGGGAGCAAAACAACACATGGCTTTGGCAGGGATCAGCTGCCTGGAACAGCAAATTGGTTCGTTTTTGAATGTTTTTCCCGCTGTCAAAGATGAAGAGCGGATCCTGCCGGCTCCTGTGATTCCAGCAAAGCTGGATGACCACCGGCTTTCCCCAGCTGCTGCAGGCCAGAGTCCAGAAATGAGAAGCATTCTCTCAAAATCTGCTCTTGCAGATACAGTCTGGGGCTCAGTTCCCTCTGGTGACCACCACATTTCCAGTTTAATGGGTTGTTCCTTGAGCACTGTGCTGTGCATCTTCCAAAGAGCAGCACTGGGATGTGGCTTCAGAGACAGGTCGACTCCAGCAGCTTGTTGGAATCACAAGTGTGGGCAAACCCTGGGTGAGGATGAGCGTGGTCCACGTGGAGAGAGTGGGAATGAGCAAACTCCCTGTGGCTGGCATTGCCCAGAAAGCCAAACACACCCTGGGCTACATCCCCAGTGGTGTGGGAGGGGATTATTCCCCTCTACTCTGCTCTTGTGAGAGAACCCACCTGGAGTTCTGTGTCCAGCTCTGGGGCTCCCAACATAATGAGGATGTGGAGCTGCTGGAGCAAGTCCAGAGGAGGCCACAGAAATGCTCTGAGGGCTGGAGCCCCTCGGCTCTGGAGCCACACTGGGAGAGCTGGAGGTGTTCAGCCTGGAGAAGTAAAGGCACTGGGGAGACTTTAAAGCCCCTTCCAGTGCCTAAAGGGGCTCCAGGAGAGCTGGAGAGGGACCTGGGACAAGGGCCTGGAGTGCCAAGATGAGGGGGAAAGGCTTTCCACTGCCAGAGGGCAGGGTTAGGTGGGATATTGGGAAGGAATTCCTGGCTGTGAGGGTGGTGAGGCCCTGGCACAGGTTGCTCAGAGAAGCTGTGGCTGCCCCATCACTGGAAGTGTATCTCAGGCCAGGCTGGGAGGGGTTTGAAGCAACCTGGTGGGCACCTCCATGATCCCAGTGCCCTGGCAGGTGTGGGAGCATCCTGTCTGTGCTGGGTCCCCCATCCACAGACCCCTGTGGGTGGGTGCCCAGTACCCCAAACAAGCCTGGTTCCCCAGACAGGGATGCCTCCAGCATCTGGGTGCCCGTGGGGGTGCCCAGTCACCCCCAGGTGTGGATGCTCCCCGTAATCCCAGTGCCCTGGCAAGGGTGACCTGGATGTGGGAGCATCCTGTCTGTGCTGGGTCCTCCATCCACGGAGCCCTGTGGGTGAGTGCCCAGTACCCCAAACAAGCCTGGTTCCCCAGACAGGGATGCCTCCAGCATCTGGGTGCCCACGGGGGTGCCCAGTCCTCCCTGAGGTGTGGATGCCTCCGGGTGTGGATGCTCCCCATGATCCCAGTGCCCTGGCAGGGGGGACCTGGATGTGGGTGCATCCTGTCTGTGCTGAGCCCCCCATCCATCTCCCCTGTGAGTGGGTGCCCACGGGGGTGCCTAGTCCTCCCTGAGGTGTGGATGCCTCACATGTAGGTGCTCCTATAATCCCAGTGCCCTCCTGCCAGGAGCGACCTGGATGTGGGACCATCCTACCTGTGCTGAGTCCCCCATCCATGGCCCCCTACAGATGGGTACCCTTGAGAGTGCCCAGTGCCCCCAAGGTGTCAATCCCCCCCGGGTATGAATGACCCCACGATCCCAGTGCCCTGCTGCCAGGAGTGACCTGGATTTGGGACCCTCCAGTCCGTGCCGGACCCCCCCCCATCCATCCCCCCCGCCGCGGCTGGGTGGGTGCCCAGGGGGGTGCCGCGGGGACCCCGCTGTGTGTGTGTCTGTGTGTGTGTCTGTGTGTGTATCTGTGTGTGTCTGTGTGCCTGTCTGTGCCCCCCAGAGCGCGTTGCCCGCCGCTGCCCGGGGGCCGTGCCGGGCCGTGCGGCGGGCGGGGATGGTGCGGCTCCCGCCGGCTCCCCCAGCCCGCCCCGCGCCGCCGCCGCAGCCCCGCCAGACGCAGCGCGGCTCGGAGCGCGCACGGAGCCTCCTCCCGCAGCCGCCGCCATGGCCCGGAACCGCCGGGACAGGAGCAGCTGGGGTAGGAGGCGATGGCTCGGCGGGGGCAGCGCGGACAATGCCGGGCCTGCGGCGGTCGCGGCCCGCGCCGGGGCGGGGCTGCGGGGGCACCGCGCGGGCGGGGGGCTCGGCCGGCCCGGGGCGGGGGCGGCCCGGGGCGGGATCCCTCTGAGGGGGCACACGGGGATCTGGGAGTCCTCACAGCATCCCTGTGCGGCCGGGGGTCCGCCCGTCCCGCCCGCCCGGCCGGCGGGGCTGGGATGGGGGTGCGGGATGAGGGTGCCCCGCGTTCCGCGGCCTCGCTGGGGCGCGGGCCGGGCGGGGTGTCCCCGGCTCGGGCTTGTCACGGCCCCGCGCCCCGCCCGGGGCCCGACAGCCCCCGGCAGATCCCCGGGGAGCCCCGCGGCTGCCCCGGCTCCCCTCAGCCTGCCCGGACACCCCTCGCCCTGTCCCTGGTGTCCCCTCGGTCCCGGAGGGGAGATGTCACCTCAGCCACCACCCCATGTCACCCGGGAGCAGGAATCCCCCTTACTCCCAGCCCACCTCGTCTAGGAGCAGGGATCCTGCTCACCCCACCCCATCTCACCCAGGAGCAGGGAATCCCGCTCACCCCCATCCTGCCCCATCCAAGGGGCAGGATTTCCCTCACCTCCAACCCATCTCATCCAGGTGTCCCACTTACCCTCACTCCATCTCATCCAGGGGCAGGATTCCCCTCACCCCCACCCCACCTCATCCAGGAAGAGGGAATCCTGCTCACTCCCATCCTACCTCATCCAGGAGCAGAGACCCCCCTCACCCACATCCCACCTCATCCAGGAGCAGAGACCCCCCTCACCCACATCCCACCTCATCCAGGAGCAGAGACCCCCCTCACCCACATCCCACCTCGTCCAGGGGAAGGAATCCTCCTCACCCCACTTTCCTCAGTCAGAGCCACTGGCCTTCCCCGGCAGCTCACCCCTCCGGAGGGCTTTTCCCATTTCTGGGAGCCGTAGGGCTTTGTTGTCGTGTCACACCTTCCAGAGAAGGGGCCATTTTAAACCCATCCCCTCACAACCCTCCCTGAGGCCGGGGGATTTGGGGGCAGCATTGCCGGGGAGCCGAGCAGGGTGACGGGGGAGGAGGAAGTTCTGTGGCGTCTTCCTGCAAGGCTTCAGTTCCCTCTGGAGCCGCCTGGATCCTCCAGCGGCTGCTGCTTCCCACTGGAGCCAAAGCTGGTCCCACAGGTGGGCTGCACCCAGCAAGGGGCTCCTCCGCCTTCACGCGTCGCTTCACCCACTGCCACGCTGTTCCGTAGGAAATCAGGATTTATCCAGCCATTTTCCGTTATTTGAGGCTGCTGGGGAGAGTAATTTGCCATTTCCTCCGGAGTCATATTCCGTGTGAGCTCACTCACCGGTGCTCCAGGTATCCTGGCTCCTCAGGCGGAGCGGGGTGAGCTGAGCTGTGATGTTTAGATACACAAATTACATCCTAATTTGTGTAGATGAGTGTGGGATTTCCCATGGTAATGATTAACAGTTCAGAGACAAGCTCCAGGAAATGCTGGGATAACGGAGTGTGTGATCCGAGCCAGCGGAGCGGGCAGGGGGGCTTTTTTGGGAGGGAGGAGGGTGGAAAATTAGCAAAGCTCATTTGATCGGTGCCGTGTTTGACTGTGACTTAACGAGGGTCGTCAGATCCTCGGGTAAACCGGAGGGAAAACTTGCCAGGGAATGTGCTGCCGTTCTCAGCTTTGTCTCACAGAGCGTGTGACAGACGTGTCAGCCCCGCGCGTGTTGGGAATTGCACACACGTCCACGCGCTGGTGCTTTCCCTTCAGGTCCGGATGGCAGGAGAAGGGAATGCAAATGATGCCGGAAGGGATGTAAGCGTGGAAAACATCGTCTTGGGAAGTACAACCTTGGTCCGGCAAGGCAATTGGGCACATCCCTCAGCCTGTGCTGCTGAGCCCCACTCCGGTGAAATGTGATGTGTCACTGAGTTGATGAACTCTCCCCTTAGATTCTCTACAAGAATCTGGAAGCATCCACGGATCCAAGCTGGATCTCTGTGGGATCAGCCGCCTTCCCCACAGCTCAGAATCATACCCTACATCCCACAGACGTTTACCTATTCCTAGAGGATTTCCTGGCGCTTTGCCAGGCTGGTTGACATTGCAAGTAAGAAATTACGAGAGCAAAATGCCTCTATTTTTTACGAGGGGGAAAAAATCCAAACAAACTCCACCTCTAATAGATTTATTTATTCTATTTATACAACAAAACCTCATTGCCCTGAACGCTGTGTTTACATCCAGTGACTGCAGCATTGTCCGGTGACATCAGTCCATGGGGTGATTATTCCTCTGCTACATTTTTCAGCTGGCGAAGGAGGAGGCTCAGGCTTTTCCTGAAGCTGAGGAGGGAAGGAGAAAGTCCTTGCTTTGTTCTAAAAACGGGCTTATGGGTCATTAAAAATATTAGCGCTATTTTGAAACGGATCAAACTTTGTCCCAGTTACTCAGGCCTGGAAACAGGCAGCTGCTTGGTGTAACCCCTCCTTTGTTTCGTGAAAATAATTGAGCTTTTTTAAAAGCTCACAGAGCAAGTTGGGGTGAGCGAGTGAGGGGTGTTGCCCCCCGGTCAAAGCTGGCTCGCTGTCACATCCCTGGGAGCTCATGTGGTGGGGTGTGATGCACCCAGAGCAGGATTTAGCCTTGGGCTAAAGGTCAGCATAAGGCTATGCCTCATTTAAGGCTCTTCCTGAACGTGCAAAGTGGTGCACAGACCTCACAACTGCTGCCAGTTGAATGGTTGAGGCAGCTGAAGATGATAAAAAAATCACTGTGAGTAGGGGACCCTGCTTTTCCCAAAATAAGGAATGTTGGTTGAAATCCTGCTTGGCCCGGTGAAGTCCCGCCAGCTCAGGGAAGGTTTGTAGTGGATCACACTGATTTTCTTTCCTGAAATTGTTTGTGCTTGGCAGTTGCTGATGCTCAACAGCCTGCTCCCCCCAGTCCAGTAAAACCATTAGAGATCCCCTCTCCCAGTTGCTCCTTTAAACAGCACAGACTGGAACAAATTGTGTGAAATCTCATGTTTCCCCTCGTGGCCCGTGTTGCAATTGGAATGACCCACCCATCAAGAATTCAGTTGTAAAACCATAAAAGGGATTTCAGAGGTTATAGATACTTCGTGGTGGGGGTTTTCAAGCTGGATAGGAGATTTATGAGAGCTCCTAACGGGAGCCAGAAAAGGCCAAGGAACTGTTTTGAGGAGAAGGGGCTTGTTTCCAGCACAGGCCAGGCCGAGATCATCCCTGCCACACACTTGGACTGCACAGCAGTGGGTTAAACTGGGAAGAAAAGGATGATTTTGGTAGGTTGTTTTTCCTTTCTGTTTGTTATTTGATTTCTGACCTTTTATGGTGGATTTTCAGATTCCACTTCCTGGCATTTCTTTGTGAGTCCAAGCGCTGGGAACCTGACAAGTGAAAGCTGAGATGTTTCAGACAGAGGGGCCTTTACACAAAAAGCCAGAAATATTCATAACTAAATGTCTGGCTTGTAAATGAGGGGGAAAAAATGAAGTGCTGGGACTTGAAAGAAGAGACAAGACAACATTACAACGTAAATATGATCATAGAATCATGTGGAATGGTTTGGGTTGGAAGGGGCCTCTAAATGTCATCTCGTTCCAACCCCCCTGCCATGGGCAGGGACACCTCCCACTAGCCCAGGTTGCTCCAAGCCTCGTCCAACCTGGCCTTGGACACTTCCAGGGATCCAGAGGCAGCCACAGCCTCTCTGGGCAACCTATGCCAGGGCCTCCCCACCCTCCCAGCCAAGAATTCCTTCCCAATATCCCATCTAACCCTGGAGTTGGTTGTGTCTTGCCGCATTTTCCCTGCTAAGCCCATGGATGAGAAGCAGCACATGGAAATGTTGTTTAGGGCCTGAGTGATGTTCAGGGGCAGAGGGATTTATATTAACTCCCCTGGATCACTGACTGGAACCTTCTCCAGAGGGAGAAGGAGTCTGGGATGGGCTCTGGGAGGCACGAGGTGGATCATTTCTGGAAGTCACTTCAATCCAGAGAGACCCCCAGTTCCCTTGTTCCTGCCAGAAATGTTCCCACTTGCCATCAGCTGAAGGAAAATGGAATGTTACAGAAGGAAAGGAGCTGAACGTGAATTTCCCAAATGAGGTGGAGGCTCTGGAGAAGGGGCTGAACTCTGCCAAGCCCACAAAGTATATATCAAGTATTTAAAGCTCTCTATATACATAAATGTTTTCTCCAGACTGTAACTGCTTTTAATGCTGTATCCTAGGATTTTGTGGCATGTTTACCAAACTTTAATTTCCAGGCAATTTTAGCAACAAAAGGGTAAAAATAATTTCATGTCAGAAATTACTAAATCGAGCACTGGTGGTGGAGAGGAAGGGAGGCTGTTGCTGAAAAACAGAGCAGATGAAGGAGCATGCAGAAAATGTGTGCTAGGGGTGAAGCAGGAGTTTGGGAGGTGTATTCCTGGAAGTGTTCCAGGTCAGGTTGGACAGGTCTTAGAGCAGCCTGGTCTAGTGGAAGGTGTCCCTGCCCATGGCAGGGGGTTGGAACGAGCTGGTCTCTAATTTGCTTCATTCCCAAGGTAGCTGTGTGCTTGTGTCTCTGAAGCTTGCTAATAAGGAGCTCAGCCTGGGAATTCCACAGCAGTAGGAATTGCTGTTGCTTCAGAGCCAGCTGAGCACTGGAGCTTCAAGTGAGTGGTAGTAGGTGTTGTCATTAAAAAGCTTCACGTTGGACTTTGGCATTTGAGGTGTTGTAACAGACAGATTCGGTGGCTGGTGATCATCCAAGCTCTTGTTTCTGTCAGCGTTCACACCGGGAAGGTCCCAAACCACTCCTGTTATCAGCAGGATCATTCGTCTCCTTGTTCCCTCTGCCAGAGGGAGAAGGGGCTGAGCTGGCCACGCTGGAGCAGAGGTGCTGCCAGCTGGGTGACTCAGGGCTGGCAGGAAGGAGGTGCACTCCACGTCCT